CGCGCAACCAAGGTTTGAGAACGAGAGCGAGAGGAACCGCACAAACTTGGCACAGAACAGATTTCTGAACGCTATTCAATTTGTAACAACGCGCAACCAAGGTTTGGGAACGAGAGCGAGAGGAACCGCACAAACTTGGCACAGAACAGACTTCTGAACGCTATTCAATTTGTAACAACGCGCAACCAAGGTTTGGGAACGAGAGCGAGAGGAACCGCACAAACTTGGCACAGGACAGACTTCTGAACGCTATTCAATTTGTAACAACGCGCAACCAAGGTTTGGGAACGAGAGCGAGAGGAACCGCACAAACTTGGCACAGAACAGATTTCTGAACGCTATTCAATTTGTAATAACACGCAACCAAGGTTTGAGAACGAGAGCGAGAGGAACCGCACAAACTTGGCACAGGACAGACTTCTGAACGCTATTCAATTTGTAACAACGCGCAACCAAGGTTTGGGAACGAGAGCGAGAGGAACCGCACAAACTTGGCACAGGACAGACTTCTGAACGCTATTCAATTTGTAACAACGCGCAACCAAGGTTTGGGAACGAGAGCGAGAGGAACCGCACAAACTTGGCACAGGACAGACTTATGAACGCTATTTAATTTGTAACAACGCGCAACCAAGGTTTGGGAACGAGAGCGAAGGAACCGCACAAACTTGGCACAGGACAGACTTCTGAACGCTATTCAATTTGTAACAACGCGCAACCAAGGTTTGAGAACGAGAGCGAGAGGAACCGCACAAACTTGGCACAGGACAGACTTCTGAACGCTATTCAATTTGTAACAACACGCAACCAAGGTTTGGGAACGAGAGCGAGAGGAACCGCACAAACTTGGCACAGAACAGATTTCTGAACGCTATTCAATTTGTAACAACGCGCAACCAAGGTTTGAGAACGAGAGCGAGAGGAACCGCACAAACTTGGCACAGAACAGACTTCTGAACGCTATTCAATTTGTAACAACACGCAACCAAGGTTTGAGAACGAGAGCGAGAGGAACCGTACAAACTTGGCACAGGACAGACTTCTGAACGCTATTCAATTTGTAACAACACGCAATCAAGGTTTGGGAACGAGAGCAAGAGGAACCGTACAAACTTGGCACAGGACAGACTTCTGAACGCTACGGCCGCTCAGCGGCTACTAAGGAATATTCCATGCAATTATTTTTTATAAAGTTATTATTTTGTAGATCGATGAAATAATTGTTACTTTTAAAATAAGGTAGTTTGAACAATCATAAGTTTTTCATACAATTTTTTTTTTGGGGGGTGGCTTGCCTCTGGGCTGTTTTTTGCTTTGTAAAAAGTAGCGCATCTGTCACAATACAAACGTCATATCATAACACGACGTAACCAGGGTCGGATTTCGTAGTATAATTATCCTAATTGTTCCATTATTTCATAGTTTGTAGTATATAATATTGTAATAATACTAAACGAAAATACCACAATTTTACCTAAATGTCGACTTGTATTATTATTGGGTCCTTTTACTTTTTAATATTAACCCTAGGATATTAAAATTTTCTGTATTGTACATGAGTAACGCGTTTTTTTAAATAAAATTAGAATCAACTCCCGTTCTGGTCAGTCGGTGCTCGATCGATGCATTTATGTTGCATCCTTGATACAACTATAATGGGGGCTATCACGATAAAAATTATGCTCCAGAAGAAATCAAGTTTGAAAATAAAATTTCAAAATATTTTATGAATCAGAATTTCAGATTCAATTAAGCAGATATGGTTTCTTTCGTACTCTTTTCGTTTTACCCTTATTGAATATAAAATATAAGTATTAGGTACCAATATTCAAAATTTAACTTACACTAAGACAAAAATGAAACAAATAAAAATAAAACCATGAAACGTATAGATAAACTAGACGCGTGACGCCAAAATCCCGGCACATGGGAAAAAAGAAACATGAAACGTTAAACATGATATAATATTTTAAAAATAGTACAATTTTATTTTGCATGGTCAATATTTTTGAGGGTCTGAATCCAACCCTGGCCTAATCTTAGTAATGTAACTAAACTAACTGTAAAATAAAACTCTAAAATGCGTTTATATAATTTAATTGAAACAAAATTAATATAAAGTTCGACGTAACGTAACATTCCTTTTAAATCTTTGTATCATAATTTTTGCATCTTTTTACCACGCAACTAGACATATTTATGACAGGCAAATCTGTCCTGCGCGCGCACCACTGTCGACCGATTCGCGTTGGCCCCAAAACTGTAATTTTAGGGCCAGCGCACTGGTCCGTTTTAGTTGTTCGGTCGGCCCGGTCCTTATGCTAGTAATATATGTCAATGAGTTTGAATGATTATTTTTTGATATCTGTCTACTTGTCTAGTTACACACTTGCCGCTTAGAAAAAAATAATTACAGCATAAATACAAATAAAAACCAAATAGTTTTAATGAGGTGGTCAAATTTTCCTGCTTTGAGACCTCTTATTGAAGACAGTGAAAGATATTTAGAAAAAAGAAAACAACGTATTCTGGAGATTAAGATGTTTAGCTACAAATACGCTGGAAAGATTTCATCTTATTACTATTGATTGCCTTATTGTGGTGCACGAACAAACCTCAAAATGGCGTTGGATTAGACAAATCTGTATTTAACGTTTGCTTAAGCTAACACAGACCACTTAGATAAACCTAAAAATTATGTAGTTTTTACTTATTTATTTATTTATTTACACTTTATTGCACCATAAAAGATTACAAAGGGCGGACTTAATGACATTAGGCATTCTCTCCCAGTCAACCGGGGACGTGTGGAAATTATGTGATAGGTGACAAAATAAAATGAACAATAGAGTAAATCAAGGAAAAAATCTACTGATAAACTTAAAAATAAACTAATATTATATATACAAATACAATAAACTTATATACTCCAAAATATAATACAGATAATATATAATATATACATACATATTCATAGATACATAAATATATACATATTTTAAATACAAATAGATATATAATATAAACCTATAAATAAAATAACAACAAAAAAAGGTAACCAAAATTAACAATATTAACTATCATCTAATATTTTCATAAAATGCTTATGTACCAATCTTTTAAAGGCAGTCTTATTAGATGTTTATCTGACGTCATCGGGCAAGGAGTTCCAGAGCAGTGCAGCCTGAATTGTGAAGGATTTACCAACAAAATTAGTAGAATGTACAGGGATACTTAACTTAACACTTATATTGTGGGTATTTGCTATGTGCTGTCTACATTTTATATAAATATTTTATATATATATATATATATATATATATATATATATATATATATATATATATATATCAAAATATTTTACTCTAATCTTTTATGCTAAGTGGCGCTAACGACTCGATACGAGTCAACTTCAAAAGACTGTAGCCTTAACTTCTTCCAAATAAATGCACATAAGAAATTCACAAAAAATAAGACTTTTATCTGGTACACTTTTATATTTATATAGAACGCGTTTACAATTTACCAGACAGTTCATGAAAATAGTTTTAGTGTATTTTCATATGCCTTTGCTAATTGCTTTCTATATTACATCTATATTCACAAATATTACACGAAAAAGGTTTTTGTCCGGTGTGTATTTTCATATGTGTTTGCAAAGCACTTTTTCTTATACATCTAAATTCACAGATATTACACGAAAAAGGTTTTTCTCCGGTGTGTATTTTCATGTGTTTGCAAATCACTTTTTCTAATACATCTAAATTCACAGATATTACAAGAAAAAGGTTTTTCTCGGGTGTGTATTTTCATATGTTGTTGCAAATTACTTTTAAAATTACATCTAAATTTACAGATATTACACGAAAACGGTTTTTCTCCAGTGTGTATTTTTATATGTGTTTGCAAATTAATCTTTGTAATACATCTAAATTCACAGATATTACACGAAAAAGGTTTTTCTCCGGTGTGTATTTTCATATGTTGTTGCAAATTATATTTTCTAATACATCTAAATTCACAGATATCACACGAAAAAGGTTTTTCACCAGTATGTATTTTCATATGTGTTTGCAAATGACTCTTTGCAATGCATCTAATTTTACATATATTACAGGAAAACAGATTTTCACCGGTGTGTATTTTCATATGTTGTTGCAAATTACATTTTAAATTACATCTAAATTTACAGATATTACACGAAAACGGTTTTTCTCCAGTGTGTAATTTCATATGTGTTTGCAAATGACTCTTTGTAATGCATCTTATTTTACATATATTACAGGAAAAGGGTTTTTCACCGGTGTGTATTTTCATATGTGTTTGCAAATCACTTTTTCTAATACATCTAAATTCACAGATATTGCACGAAAAAGGTTTTTCTCCGGTGTGTATTTTCATATGTTGTTGCAAATTACTTTTTATATTACATCTAAATTCACACAAATTACAAGAAAAAGGTTTTTCTCCGGTGTGTGTTTTCATATGTCTCTGGAAACTTCCTCTATTTGTACATTTATAATCACAATTATTACAACAGTACACTTGCTTCGCGACGTGCGCTTTAAGATGTGCTAAAATGCGACGTTTATGAGATGTTTTAAATTCGCAAATATCACAGTTATATATATCCATTAGTTGTGGTACTGGAGTTTGTTCAACTTGTGTCTGAACTGCATCTGAGTCCTTTGGCGTCTTATGACTGTATGATATGTGATCGGCGAGAATATCTTTTGTAAAAAACTGTTTTCTACAATCATCACATTCAAATATGTATTTTGTTGATGTCTCAGATGTGTTTTCCGTAAGTATATTTACACTCTGTTTCAAAATTTTCTTTTTCATGATTTTTGCAGAATGCTTCCCTTTTTTAATAACTGGTTGAGTATCTCTTTTCAGTTTAGGCTTTGATTTAATAGTATGGCCTGCTAAATCGAGGTTTCCTTTCCGAACATCATTTATGTTACAATCAGTAGAATTTGATTTAATCTTTTCCTCACACGGTTTTGAAAAATTATTTGTTTGTATGCGGGGCTGTTCTGAAATACAAATGAATCAAACATTTTATTTATTGTAATATACCTTAGACGATTTACAATGGGCGGAGATTATGTCTTATGGCATTCTCTGTATAAGTCAACCCAGGGAGATAAGTATAGAGAAAATATAATATTTTACATAATTATACTAAATAATGTTGCTAGATATAAAGTATTTTAGCCAATTACTCTAGATAAAACATTCATTTTTTGGTGGGAAAGAATGTTAAAGAATCTAAATTCGAATAATAATGATGACGTTCTTCTGACCATGTTATAATTAAATTAATCTAATAATCGCTGGTTCGAATCCCACACAGAAAGCGTCATACATACATACATCATTTTGACTAGTATTGTTGTAGATATTAAGAATACAATCTAGGTAGTAATATTAGAAAAATCTATTCTAACAATCGCTGTTTCGAATTCCACACAGAACTAGTCTTACACACACAGTACAGTCGAAGTTGGCGTGTAAGTGCGGCATAAGAGAATTCATCATCACATTTTATCCCGTTGGTTTCGTAAGAGGCGACTTAGGGTTTAGTTTTCCGACAGATGACGGTATAATCACCTCGTTTACTTCAGATGTAAGATATCCAGACCGGCGACAGGCAACATTGCCAGAGGTGCTCACGTCTGGTTCTGCGATCGTCAATCCTATGCCAAGCGTGAGGACTGAGGCAAATCCTCCCTACATCGGGAGAGATCCTTCCATGTGCAGTAGTGGAAGTTTACGGGACGATTAAGATGGAGGAATTATTTGTAGGCCATACAAAGACTCAAAACAAGCCCTGGTAGCTCAGGGGCAAGCAGTTTACGATAAAATTTCACAGTACGCTAGGAACCACATTTCATCAGGTGGTAGAGCCACACTGCAGCTATTATGGTTGTAGCATAAATGGGTCGGCTCGACCGGGGAAGGACCACACTCTCATAGAATACCAGCTTAATGCTGTTGTGTTTCGTATGGTGAGTTTAGAGAATCGGAGACCCTTTTTACTGGAATCGAGGCATTCCATCTAAGTCCTCAAGGGTGAAAACGCATCTGTTGATTCTTAAGCGAGGTTAAAAATGTAGATGTCTATGGGCCACATCATCCACTTACCATCAGGTGGACTGTGTGCCCGTTTGTCACCCTTATCCCTTTCGCTCTGACAGCGCGCGACATGTTATACTCCCGTTCGCTCGGGACCGTAATGGCGGGAAAATTTGCAAATTAGCAAATTTTTTGCTATATTGCAAATTTTGCTATATTTTCACTTTGAGACAATATTTATGGATAAAACTTACAGGATTTCTTGTTGAATGTATAAACTATCGAATAAAATTATTTTTGGTTGCTAGAAATTGTAATAAAATACATAAATTACCCTATATAGCATAGTAGTACCATATACTTCAATTTTAGAGACAAAATTACTACTAATTTGAATTCTACACTTTTGTTTTTGGAGAAATTTATATGAAAATGTTTGGAAATATGTATATTTTTATGTTTTATATGTTTCCATTCGTTACTCATACCAAAATATTGAAATATAAAAAAACTATAATAATATTTTATCTGTGTGACATTTAGAACAATATTTCAAAAATAATTATGTGTGAATTTGAAATAAATACAACGTCAAGTTATTTGAAATATATAAGAAAACTATTTTTACTTACATTTTACACTAAAAATAAATGAGAATATGAAAAATAACGCATTTATGACCCAGCCGCCATAATGGGCCTTCCAGATTTTGAAGCACTTTTGGCAATTTACTTTTCACTTTTTATACCACAAATTATATATCTACGTGTTCACTATATTACAAGGAATATAAAAAAGTATAATACTTTCGTTTTTAGTCCAGACACAATTATAAAATTCTATAAAAAAAGATGGAGCACCTTTATCAAAACGACACGTGGAACGCCGAAAGTTCAGAGTGATTTCTTTTTTTTTTTTTCTAAGAAACATTGCCAGGTTATGGTTTAAAATAAAAGAGCATATCTTTGTCTTTGATACTATTATCTATTGCATATTGTTTTTGGTTTTGTTTTAAAGGAAAAAGTAGTTTTTTCATAAGGCAGTACTTCTGATATTATCTGATCTAATTAGCCCCGTACTAGAGCGGGCGTAAGGTAGGTATTGTATGATCTGATTAGATTGGTAGCCGAGTGAAAGGGTTATACTATAAAAAATACCCAGGTTCATTCCCCACCAGCACCCATATAATTGTTAATTTTATATATGTATATATCAGGTATACTCGGATTAGTAAGCTGAAGTGGCAATGGGCCGGCCATATAGCTCGAAGAACCGATAACCGATGGGGAAGAAAGGTTCTCGAGTGGCAACCTCGTACCGGTAGGCGTAGTGTAGGGCGACCCCCCACTAGATGGAGTGACGACCTGGTAAGATATGCAGGAAGTCGATGGATGCAGGTGGCTCAGGACCGTGCTTTGTGACATTACTTGGGGGAGGCCTATGTTCAGCAGTGGACTTGTGAAGGGCTGTAATGATGATTATGATATATACAGGTTAAAGGTTGAAGCATGAAAGCAGGTAAGGCAGCTGGATATGATAGAGTATCACTCGAGATGCTAAGGGCTGGAGAGGGAGTGGTGGCAGGCCTGCTGTACACCTTGTTTAATTTATGTTGGGAATTAAAACGGGTACCGGATGACTGGTGTAAAGCAGTTATAGTACCAATATATAAAGGAAAAGGGTCACAGCAGGACTGCAAAAACTACCGCGGTATCAGCTTGCTTAGTATTGTGAGTAAATTGTATGCTAAGGTGTTAATTGAAAGAGTTATGAAAGAAACTCATGGAAAAATTTGGGATGTGCAAGCGAGTTTTAGAAAGGGAATGGGGTGTACAGATCAAGTCTTTTCCATGCGCATGATTGCGGAGAAGTTTTTGGCCAAAAACCAGAAAGTTTTTTGTGCGTTCATGGACTTGGAAAAGGCTTATGACAGAGTGGACAGGAATGTGTTATGGCAAACACTGAACTCATATGGGTTGAGCGCTGGTTTGATACATGCATTAAGGTCTCTTTATAGGGACTCTAGTGCTTGTGTCAGGATCAATGGGGTCTACTCGGACTGGTTTGGCATCCAAAAAGGGAGGCGGCGGTTGTGCTGCAAATGATGCTTACATTAATGAACTGGGAATTAAAAGAAAGGGGAATGAAAGTGAACGCAAGTAAGACGAAAGTGATGGTTTTTGAAAGAGAAGAAAGAAAAACGGTATGTGAAATAAGAATAGAAGGAGAGTTAATTGAGCAAGTGGATGAGTTTGTGTATTTGGGATGTGTATTTAGCAGGGATGGTAGATATGATAGGGATATAGAACGACGAGTAAATGCAGAGAATAGAGTGAATGGGGCACTACACTCTATTGTGAAGAACCAGAATGTGTCAAAAAAGGCACGTATGGTAATTTATAATGCTGTGTTGGTCCCTACTTTAATGTATGGTAGTGAAAGTTGGGTGTGGCAGAAGAAGCACGAAAGTAGAATAAATGCTGTAGAAATGCGGTCTTTAAGGAATATGCTAGGGTTGAATCTGAATGACAGGGTGAGAAATTGCGTGATAAGAGATAAATGTGGTATGCAAGATGATGTTGTGACCAGGATTAAGAAAGGAATGCTTCGGTGGTTTGGTCATGTAGAAAGAATGAATGAGGAAAGAGTGACAAAGCAAATTTATATGGCAGAAGTGAACGGCCGATTCGGGAAGGGACGCCCTAGAAAAAAGTTTATCGACCAAATTGGCGATATTTTGAAAATGGGCCACGTTAGAAGTACCCTTAACCGATGAGCATGTATGCGTAGATATATGGATGTAAAGGAGGCGAAAGAGGTATGTCAGGATCGTGCCAAATGGAAGTCCGTAGTCTCTGCCTACCCCTCTGGGTGACAGGCGTGAGTGTTTATGTTTTTATGTATATTATATACAGGTTGTCCCAGAAATTGACGTCAAGTCGGAGTCGGATGACAGGTTAAGTCACAATAGTTAACAGAAATATTAAAAAATTTAAAAAATATCTTTGCTGTGTTTTAAAAATTACAAGTATTTATAAAAACTAGAAAATCTACATCCTCTCATAGTTTTTAACTCCTGTTGCTACAAATTTAAATTCTTTTTTTAATTTTAATTTTATTGTGTGATTTTGTTTTTTGCCTAACTCAGGATCTCATGATTAGCAGATGTACTAACAACAGCTTTCTCAGACGTCAGTAGCCCTATCAACAAATCAGTGAATCCCCTTTCCTGTTTTATCTTAATAACACCTTGGGTTACCACCGGCGAATTCAGTTCTTGCTTAAAACTACACAATTGTATGGCCTACAATAAATCATTTTGGTTCATTTGGGTCACAAACGGTTATTTTGTTTGTTCATGTGTAACAAAAGAACAAAATTTTGTATGTACAGTACATCTCCAACTACATGATGCAAGAGATATTTCTAACGTGGCTTTTATTTTTTATTGTTTAATACAGGTTTTATAAAATAAATTCTTTTACCTATGTATAAGTGATCTGTTTTACTCTTTGCACCTAATGAAATTAGTGGCAAGTCGTCCTCCGAATCCTCATTTCGATCTTCTAAAGCATCTATCTCCAAGTCTTCTTGTTGTTCAGCAGTATCTAGAATGAAACAGATTCTGACTCAATATATAAAATAACAACTGATGTTTTGTCCAAGCGACTAGATCATTACAGTCCATCGCACAGCTTATGGTTCCGAGCCACCCACTTTCATAACCATACTACATGTTTGATAAGATATATGTAATAAGCTGAAGTGGCAATGGGCCGAAGAACTGAGGACCGATGGAGAAGAAAAGTTCTCCTAACGTGACGTAATTATGGCAGCCTCGTGCCGGTAGACGAAGTGTAGGGTGGTCCCCCACTAGATGGAGTGACAACCTGGTAAAACATGCAGGAAGTCAATGGATGCAGTTGGCTCAGGACCGTGCTTTGTGGTGTTCCTTGGGGGAGGCCTATGTTCAGCAGTGGACTGGTGAAGAGCCGTAATGATGATGATGATTCATTCACCTCATTTAGTAAGTGTTCGCCACAACTTGTTTTTAGTAGATGAGTGTTGCCAGTACAAGGATGCCTTGAGCACTTTTTCTCCATATATTTTTTAGTATGAAGTGACAAACAAACTAACAGTCCACCTTATGGTATGTAGTCGATCCACCTGATGGCACTGCACTGCCTGCAGCTAACTTCAAACATAAAAGGTACAATGCGCTGTCACCTCTGATGACTAAGATGCAATTCCCCACAGCCTGTGATTATACTAACTCTATACTCTTCAGACTGGCACACAGCAGTGCACGCACTGCTATTTGATGATAGAAATAGGTAAGAGAAAGAGGAAAGAGTCCATCAAGGTTTAGAAATTGGCAAAGATAGGTGGTAGCTTACCAGTTGTAAACAGGGTCAAAACATTTATAAATAAGTAAAGGAAAATGTCTGGATATATATATGGATTCCGGTTCCGGCTATTGTATCGTGTTTACGATACGATACGTACGTCAAACTCCTCCGCGAATATTTTCGTAAAAGTAGTGCAAAAAGTGGTTAATCAAGTAATCTTGACGCAACCCCTTCAAAATAAAGTATTGAAACTGAACTTAGTGAAGTGATCACAGTGCGAATATTGTTCATCTTGCGAAAAATCTTCAATTATCACGAAACAACATAACCTAAAATTGTGAATAGCAGTCATAATCATAGACTAGTGTTATCACTATTGCCAACATAACGAATCACCAACTGTGGTTGACAGTGAAGGTTTAGTGATACCAGTGAATAAAAACTCTTGAATCCAATTCAGTGTTGCCACTACAGCATTAAAATTACCACAAAAATGGAAAAAAGTATGGAAATAATATTTATTAACAAAAATAGATGAGAAGCTCGAACAACGAACTATGCTCATAACAACATCAGTGAAAAGAAATGTTATGGAAGCATTGGACGAGAAATTGAAGACTATTATGGAAGAAAATACTCTACTTAAAAATAAAGTCATAACACTAGAGAAAAAATTAAGTGCCATAGAAAGAGAGAAGCGAGGACACAACTTGGTTTTCTTTGGAGTAGAGGAGATGGGTAAAACAGAAGCTGTACTGGTAGACCACATTAAGGAATGTATAATAGAATCGGGAACACACCTAGATAGTCATAAAATTACCAACGTGTACAGAGTTGAACAACGTACCGACAACAAAAACCGTCCCGTTGTAGTTTCCATTGCATCTATATGGAAGAAACATTTGATATTGAAAAATAAAACTAGTTTACCACCAGGTATTATTGTCAAAGAGGATTATCCGAAAGATGTACTAGAGAAACGAAAGCAGTTACAGCCACAAGTAGAAGAGGAAAGAAAAAAAGGAAACTTGGCTTATCTGAAATACGACAAACTAATAGTAAAGCAACCTAAAGATAAAGGCCGTGACAAGAGAAAAAGGGAAGACTCAAACTCAGCCAACTTGTCAACGCAGAAAAAAGTTAACTCACAAGACAATATTACTTTACAACCACCTAACAAAACAGCAACAAAAGAAATTTTTAAACCCAACACAGTCAAATATGTTGAACGAAAAAGACCAGCTCCAACAGTTTCATCAGCCGAAGATCCAAAAAAACTTGTAACTGACATCATTACACCAAACCAAAGGAAAACAAATAAAATGAATTTATACAAACCAAACATACACAGAAGAACATTGCCAAGAACCGGAAAAATTAAAATTAGAACAGAAGATTTTGAACCACAACAAACAAAATGTCTCCCAACACGGCTGGTCCCCGCGGGAGATCTAGACCAAAACCCTCCAACAAAATCACGCGTAAAAATCAACATTGCAACACTAAATACAAGAACACTAAGAACACAGGAAAGTCTGCTGGAACTAGAAAAGTCACTAGAGAAAATAAACTATGATATCTTAGGAATAAGTGAGATGAGAAGACTGGAAGAGAAAATAGAAGAGTATGAAAACTATATCCTATACCACAAAGGAGAAACAGCAGGACACAGAGGTGAAGGATTTCTCATAAAACAATCCCTAAAACAAAACATACTGGAGCTAATAGGAATTTCAGACAGAATAGCTATACTAAACATGAAACTACCGGGCTACAAGAAAGTATCGACAATCATTTCCTCCTAGAGAATAATTTGACACTACTCAATTCAGTCTATAAGAAAAAATATAAAAATAAATGAACCTTGTAGTGTTATGCTACTTACATACCATTATACACTATTTTAAATTTATTTTTCCATTCTGTTTTTGATTTTCTACATTCGCCTCAAAACTGGATATTTTGCATCACCTTTATTTCCATAGGATCCTGTAACGTTTTTAAAACATAAGAACACAATAACAAATCATTTTCACGTCGTATTTTCACGTTATCAGCACTTTTTAAATCGATGTCAATTGGAGTCTACCTTTTTCGGTCTTTTATTTAGTTCTCCGTAACTCTGCAATTTCGGGCTTCGTGCGCACTGTTGCGATACCTTTTTTTCCTATATCAATAATATCTCATTTTTCACTTAAATCTTGCCGTTTCTCTATTACGAGCCTAAAACCAAAATTTGACATGTTTTGACATCGTTGTTTATCTGGTTGTCATGGCAATTTTTATTCAAATATCGTTACCGGCCTGATGTTTTTACTTCAAAAATACTCTTTTCTTCTTGGCCATTTACAAAAATTTGCTTTTAATTTAAATAATTTCAAATAATTTCTCGTTCTTATCCCAGATCCGTCAAAAAGTATAAAAGCCGAAGAATCGGCCAATAGAGGTTCTCACTTCAGCTTTGATACGAGAAGCACCTCTTAAAGGCTTTATCCGCACTGCCTCGGGATCTTGCAAGCCTCTGCCTTCTCCTGAAGTCGTCGCCTAGCCACGCCTACGCCTCCACCTATTAGTGCCCGCGCTATCTTCGGCCGCTGTGCGTGTTTGTCTCAAGCGCTGCGTGTTCCTACTCCAGACGCTGCGTGTCTCCGGCGCTCCGGGCGCTGTTTGTGTCTACTCCGGGCGTTGTGTGTGCTTACTCCGAGCGGTGTGTGTGTGCCTACATTAAGTGCTGCGTGTACCTGCTCAATACGCTGTGTGTACCTACTCCAGACGCTGCGTGGACCTACTCCAGACGCTGCGTGTCTACTCCAGGCGCTGTGTGTGTCTACTCCGGGTGTTGTGTGTGCTCATTCTGGTCGCTGTGTGTGCCTACTTCAAGCGCTGCGTGTACTTAGATTAGGCGCTGTGCATCTACCACAGGCATAGCCTGTACATACATCGTTTTAGTACTCAATTTATCTTTGTGATTTTCTTTTTTATTAAAAAAAAATTGTAATTCACTATCATCACTACAGCCCATCATCACCCTCATACCTTTTTTTTTATATAAAAAAAGCTGTAAATATCTTTACAAATTTTAAATAAATTATTTTCTTTTTGGTTGTTTCGTTGTTAGGTTAGGTTCTTTAGTTTTTAACTGTCGCTTTACGACATTTTGGCGCCCGACGTAAAAGTTCTTCTCTCTTAATTTTTCTTTTTTCTCTTTTCTTCACCTTAACTACGCCTTATCCATTTCCTTTTGATTTAATTGCTTTCTCTTTCATTCTTAACTCTTTATTTACTCATCCTTATCATATCTTCCAAATTCTAAAACAAAACTTCATCTAGTTTTTCAACTTATCTGGATTATATTTAGACCTACATATAACACTTACATTCATCACCTTAATATTTTTATTCTAGAGAACTTAAAGAGGTACTATCTTCCAAATTCTAAAACAAAACTTCATCTAGTTTTTCAACTTATCTGGATTATATTTAGACCTACATATAACACTTCACTTACATTCATCACTTTAATATTCTTATTCTAGATAACTTAAAGAGGTATAATTTTTAATTAACTTTTTATTTCTTAAACTTAACTTTGCACTTAATTATAACAATGAAAAGGGTTATTAAGTACGAATTCCTTAACAAGGCTGAACTCGAATACAAAGTGAAGATTAGATGTGAGGAACCAGCTAATACTGTTTTGCATGACACTACATTTGTATATATGTTTGTATATTTGTATATAAGTTTGTATATATGTATAAATATCAATTTCAGACACATCTCGTTAGTGATGTTGCTGATCTCTGGCTTTGAGCCCTACCGCTCTGGCCGTTCTTAATCTTTACTTAAGTGATAGCGATTAAAGCTTGCTTAAGATTAATTTCTTTATCTTTATCTTCACTCAGGAGCGGATGACAACTCCTTAAATAAGCCTGGATGTCCTTTCAAAATTTTTTTTTCCACGCAGGAGCGGATGACAACTCCTTAAATAAGCCTGAATGTCCTTTCGAAAACACACTTTTAGAGTGGTAGTCATTGAATGTGAACTCCACCCTTACCTGAATGCAGATGATGAATGTAAGAGATAGTATATCTGATTTTGCCTGGTGATGTCTGTTACTGCAAAGCTGTGTTTTTATGGTTTATTTTTGAATGTACATGTCAAAATTTTTGCTGAGTCAAAAATTTTCCAGGTTCGGGGGGAAAATGTAGTGTTATGCTACTTACATACCATTTTACACTATTTTAAATTTATTTTT